ATATATATATATATAGGGGTTTTTGTGACACCAAGTAAAAAACCCTTAAAATTTTGCAAAAACTTGATAACAACATATAAATTTATACTCATATTTAATGTAAGTTTTCGAACTCAGATTTGTACTTAAATTACCTACCAATGAAGAATATCACATCTTTATAGTAAGTAATTTTTAAAAAAAACTTAATTCCTATAAGAATCATGATATTGGATTTTAAGAATGTGAAGATACAAACCAAAATGGATTTCTAAATTATGTAAAATTGAATCACACTGCATGCATGATATTTAGATTGCATGAATACGAATAGCGATATTGGATTTTTAAATCACAGGATCACAAATCGCAATGAAAGATTTTTAAATCGCTTGAACGTGATTCATAATGTGGTAGCTTTTAATAGCTGTGGTAGCTAATCTGATAAATAAACTAAACTAAACTCAGTGGCGCGAACAGCCCTAGAGAGCCAAGACCAATTGTGCCCATATGTTTTCTTGACCTTGGGCTCTGGGGTACAGGAGCAGATGTTCCGGCTGGGTGGTCAGCTGAATGCAGAACCTCTAGTGTTTAGTCCCCAAGTATGTTTGGTACTCATTTTATTGATCCACTGACGGGATGAAAGGCTGAGTCAACCTTGTCCGGCTCGAGGATAGAACCCGGGACATGTGGCATAAAAGTGCGAAAACCAGATAAATACTTGGTATTAAAATCGCGTGAATATGAAAAGATAGAGATATGAGTGGATTTGGGTGTAGTTTCAAATATATTAAAAACAGTGCAAAACCAATAAATTTTAAAAAAAAGAATGAAGTTGGAATTATGTGTATGAAAAGGTCGTGTTAACACAACTTAGCAAAAATTTCAAAATTTAAATTTTAGATTTCCGAACTCTTAATTATTACTTTAAATCACTCTTACTTTAAATTTTAGACTGTGGTGAAAATTTTGTCGGATTATAAGCTTTGATTCACGGAAGACCGCGAATTACTTATATGAGATATGTGGAATTCCGTGAAAAAATCACATGCCAAGTTCCCAGACCTGGAAGGATGATACGAAAAACCCAGATATTCTGAGGTACACCCGAAGTACAATCACCCCTGAATATAGATACTAAAACTTATCAAACTTATCTTCAGAACATTAATAATCTTCAGAAACTTATCTGAAACTAATTTTTCTTTACTGAGTACCATAAAATTCTAATAAAAGTAAACCTTAAATACAAACCTTCCAATGTGAAGAGTAGGTTCGGTTGCATATACACAACCTTTAAATCCTGTTCCTTCTGTGATGTAAGGTAAAGCCATCATACTTTGGTAATTTGAAATCAAGATGACATCAACTTGAGAAAAATCTATAATGTGCTCCTAGAACAGGAAAAAAAATTAATGCTGTAAATAAAATATTTTTAATTTAAAAAAAGAATGCAAAATCTGGATAAAAACAATAACTAAAAAAAGAAATTTTTATTATTAATAATTTTTATATTTTTATCATATTTATAATAATAATAAATAAAATGATTTAATTCATTTTGAATTCGAAAATAAAATTTTAATTGAAGATATTTACATTTTTTCCCTTGAAATAAGGATTTTACAAAATTTAAGGGAATATACATTTGCGCTTAACAGCAGCGCCACAAACTCTAACTTCAGAACTCAGGCGGAGCAGTCATTTTAAAACTCTTCTCAAATTTGTTAATTTTTATGATTAAATTTGTTTGTTTTCACAATGTGTTATCTTAATTCTTGCTCAATATACCAAAGGCCAACCTCTACATAATTAACTTTTTAAAATTTATAAATTCCATTTATAAATTCCATTAAGTTATGCTATTTAACTTTTAGCAAAAAAGAATTTCTTTACATTTTTATTTTTATCATGATTATCAGCATAAATGTATACTTTATTCTAATCAAAGAAATTTTTTTTTCGTAAATGCATATTAACATATAAAAAAAAATTAAACTTGACAAATTATAAGACAGAATAGATTTTTATAAAAATAAAAAACTATCAAATATGTAATTCCCAGCACAAAATAATTATGTATGAAACTTAGACTTTTAAGAAATATTCGTATATGTATAAGGAGAAATCTAAATACCTCTGGTGGACAAAATTCAGGACAACTGTCAATAAAAACTCTTCCACTACAGTCTTTAAGTTCCTGAAAACCACATGAATAATTTATTAATCTGTCAGAAAATAAAATATTTAAATGCATATTTTATTAAAAAAAATATATATTATTGAGTGAAAAACATAGTCTGTATTATCTACGAAGAACAATGCTAGTTTTGAAGCAAAAGACACACTAAAATCTACTTTTCAGCAAATTAAATCTGATTAATTTCATAATTCGATGACAAATAAAATTTACAAGAATAAATTCTTTGAACAGCAAGTGATATCTTTAAATTATACAGGTAAAAGTTAATGGTGACTTTTTGTTATTAGAAAAGTACAGAATCCTAAGTGTAAACAGAATTTAAAAGTACATTACTGGAAATCATCAATTATAAAAATGGAGGCTATGTTGTGTAATTTGTAATGAAGATGAGAGAGTTTAGACAAAACAACGTAACATTTATTAAAATACCACAAAGAATATCATAATGAAAACATATTACAATCTGGTGTAAATTTAGGTTTCAAAATCAATACTTACTTTTGCTCAGTTTTAAAAGTATAGAACAGACTCTCATGTTCTCTTATTAAATCAAATAATCTCTCTGTCAAATGCATGTGATCCTTGATGCTGGGGTTCTCATTATGCTAATCCAATTAATGAAAAACCAGGATGGTTTGAAAACTTAGATGTTTTTAGGTAGTTTAAGACTAATACTCAATACCAGTCAATGCTACATTCAAGTGTTATGCTTCTTCGATTTTTCCCTTTTCTTCAATTTTTATTAATCTCAATTTTTTGAAATAATTAAGGCACAACTCTTTTGTGCTTTCTGTAGATATTTGACAACTCCATCCCACAAAATTTATTTAAAACCTAAAGTGAGTACTCTTGCACATGGTTTAAAAGAAAATGAAACACTCTTTTCACCTCGCTCCGGGAAAAGAAGATACTGATTTTCTTTTTTTCCAGACTTTGATTAAACAGAACAAATGTGAGAAAAGAAGGGTTCACTTCTTTCTAAAGATATCATGTGACAAAAAAAAAACAAAAAAAAAACACATTTTTTCATTCCTTTTGAAGAATCTGAAGATGGATTTTTAAGGAAAAAATGGTCTCTGATTGGCCAGGTTAATTAGATAATTGGATTAATTCTTTTTTTTTTTTTTGGTATTTTAAGATTTAGATAGTTTAAAGAATATTAAATCTGTAATAAATAATATTATATAATTTTAGGCACTTAAAAAAGGAAGGGGAAGAAAAAGAGAAAATCCAGGCTAATATGCAAAAAAAAAAAAAAAAAAAAAAAAAAAATTGGAATTTATAATTAGAGAAATGTATTATGGATGGGTAATTGTGTAAAGCTAAGGGTGGTGGCGCTAGTGGTAAAATTGCTCTTTCAAGACTTCCGGGTTACTGCTTCCGATATATTTTTACGCCGCAGATTGAAAAAACGCGCCATCATATTATTGCATCATATCTTTTGCAGTATTTCACATGTACCGAGTTCTTTCTTTCAGCCTTTAAACTTCGGCATTATCATATTAATGTTATAATCATTAGAATATTTTCTAATTGGAGTAACTTAAAAAGATATTTTTGGCGACATTTTATTCAAATATAGCCAAATAAGGGATAAAATACAAAACATGGCAAACCTTAAGAATTATTCACAATGAGATATTAACTTTCCAAAAATTTTTTTGACCTTACGACCTCTGAGAATCAATACATTTCTGAAAGCTCTTATGAATGATACAATTATGTTCAGATTTGAACCCAAATTGCAATAACAAAGCTGCATAGAATATTAGGCTTGTTCACACATCGCCTCGTAGTCATAACATAAGCGGAGGGATACACCGGAAATTTTCTAAATTTCTTCCGGTTTAAGGACGCTTGTTATTGTTTACATTAGACCACCCATCCATAACACACAGCACAATTATTATTTCCAAATTATTTTTTGTAACACAAAATTTTTTTGTACGAAACAAATCATCTTTTCTTCATAATATTTCTTATGAGGAACATTTTTTGTAAGCAAAAAAAAAATTTTTTTTTTTGTAAAAAAAAAAAAAGGGAGAAAGAGAGTCTCCACGAAAGTTAATTTTCAAAAACTCAACACAGTTAAATTTATATCCCTCAAAACATGCAAAATCAGAAATTTTGATAAGAAACCATAGTTTCCTATAGCTTGGCAATGATAATGAAGAAACAATCACTCAATTAAAGAAAAAATTCATTAGTTACAAAATGTCTTGTTAAATAATTTTTAACTCTAATTTTAAATTACAATTAATTAATGCAGTATTTAGTTACAATTTTATTAAAAACATTTCAACTGTGTTGTATTTTAATTTGTTTTCATGAGAGAAATCAGATAAATTTATAACTATAAATTATATATATCTACATCGTATATCCTGGTGTATAAGTCAACCACCTATTTTCAATTACGAGATAGCAAATTTTTGGTTTGTCAGATGTATAAGTCAAATGCTGAGAAAACAAGTATAAAAATTTCTAAAATAAAAAAAAAATTATTAAGTCTACAAAACTGTCTTAAGTTAAAGATATTTAATATTAAACACACTTACAAAAACAGGAAATTTCTGCATTGATCTTACAGTTGTCATGTGTAAAATTATACAAGATATATTGCAAAATGTGGATTTAAATGTTATTGTAAAATCTTTTGAAAAATATGTCTTTTTTGAGTAAGTCTTTTTAAAAATTAAAAAATTTCATTGTGTTAAATTTCTTGAAATACTCTTAAATAAATTATCTTAACTATTTCTATTATAATTTTCATTATTTATAACTATTTCTATATTAATTTTTTTCTAAATATAATTTAAAGTATTGTTTCTAAAATAAACTCAACAAGAAAAAAAAAATTTGATAAGAGAATAATGCAGATTTAAATAAGAATAAGAGATTGACATATTAAAAATAGTTTTTGAAAAAGGTAAATGGATGGCTCATATCTATCTCGTGGTTAATAATGCATAAATATGTCCCGATCAATGATTGTCCGACGTTATTAGTAGTGTGAAAGTTGACCCCCAGATCTTAGGAAAATTTTAGGAGTTTAAAAGTCGACTTATATAAAGATATATACCGTAAATCTTATAACAGTGAGTTCTGACAATTAAATTTTCGTGTTAATTGTCTAAATCCAAACACTCCTTTAAAATGACAAGTTGGTTTTTAAGGATTATTAGGCAGAATTCTTAGGACACCTGGGTATATGCGGAATACTGAGTATTTCTTAATTTGAAATGTCAATAGGCCTACTCACCCCTTCTATCTGAGGATCGCTAGTATTCCTTGGAATCCATGATGGAAGATTAAACAACCTAGGACTAAAAAAATAAAAATTTAACAAAAATAGTTGAAAATAGAGATCAGATTAAACACACATATTTAACTTATAAATATTTTAAAATAAGAACAATACCTGTAAACTAGAGGCAGAGGAAGAAACATAAGAGCTGATGTCATATCTAATCCACAATCCAGCATAACAGTTGTTCCTTTGAAAGTCAAAATATTGCATGGCTTGTTTGGATGCGCACTTAAACAATACTGTAAAAAGTTATAAATTAATATTTTAAAAAAGGCTTCTAAATTCATTAAAATCATTGAGTTATTGGAACTGATTTTCTACCCGCTCAGCCAATTTTCCTCACCAAGCTTTTTTGACTCATTTTTATCAGTGCCAATGAAAATGTTTAGCATTACTTACTAATTTGGAAATTGTTATTTTAATATTTTAAACAAAATAATTAAAATATCAATTATTAAAGCAAGAAAATTCAGATAAAGTATATTAAATCTTTATCCCTGTACTGGAAAACATAAGTTTTATAATTAAAAAATACAGCCAATTTATAACAAATGTTTGTCCCTGGGCACCAGATTGGATAAAAGTAAACCAATATTGAAGCCTAAACAGACCCATAAATATTGAAAATCATGTATGAAAAAAGATATAATAGCTAGGGCCCTATAAATTATGCGAAGATGCGGAAACCCGCATAATTCACAATTATCCGCATAATTTACAATTTTCCGCGTAATCGCAGCATATCTGTATAATTTTTATTTTTCAGCAAAATGTATTCGTTTACCAGATAAATTTCTCCTTAAAGGTTTTTTTTTTTTCAATTGAAATATATCTTCCTTTTCAATTCCAAGAATCTTTTTGGTCAGGTGGTCAGATCTTTCTAAGAATCTGACAGAGGTGAACAAATTCACAGGAAACTTTAAGGAATTGTTCAAGCATTGTCCTGCAAGAAAGCGCCGATATTTAAAGTTTTTAACAGATGACAATAAGAAAGCTAAACTTTGTCCAGCACCAATAAAGACACGGTGGAATTCCTGGTTTAAATCAGCGCAATATCATGCTGAATATTGTAATGTTTACATAGAATTTTTCAGCAGTAAAATAAACCTTACTCCTGACACTGCTTGTCTCAAACAGTGCAAAGTTTTGATGGAAAGCAAGTACGTTTGCAAAGACTTTCAGTTCATCGCAGAACACGCTCAGATATTAATGGATACTCTTCTCTTTTTCGAAACATGTGGTGTATCTATTCACAAAGCTTACAATAAGATTTTTGATCTGCGGTCTAAACTTCGATGTAATTCTCAGGCATCATACTCACGAAAAGATTCACGCAACGTATTTCTTCAAGAAGTGTTTCACAAAACAATTGCAAAGTTGAATACTTACTACTCTCCAGAACTAGACGTATTCAAAAAACGCAGGCCCAAGTTTAGTCAACCTGCATTAAACTTCATGAAAGCTGCTCGAGTTTTCGATCCAGAACAAATAGTCAACCTCAATATTGAAGACGACGATGTATTCAAGAATATTGCAGGAATGAGTGGTCAAGATATAAAACTCGAGTATGCTGCTTACAAAGAATATGTAAAAGAATGTTCAAACCAGGACTTAAATTAGATTCTGGAATTCAGAGGTAGTCTCAGAGAGATTTCCAGACTTACAAAAAAAGCAAGACAAGTGCTCTCAGTGCTTCCTAATTCAGTAGATTGTGAAAGAGCTGTATCCTGCTACGGCCAAATTTTTACAAAACAAAGACAGAGTTTGAAAGAAAACGCAGCTTCTGGACTAACTTCTGCATGCATAATTTTTAAAAGACACCGCATCCTTGCCGCATAATTTTTAAAAATTGCCGCATAATTTTTAAAAAATTTCCGCATAATTTATAGGGCCCTAATAATAGCATACAAAACAGAAATCACTTAGGTATAAACGACAAATTAATTTCCTAAAAAATAGTTTCTAAGCTCTTTTGTCAAAATCTGTCATGAACAACAATGCGGAAAATTTTACACAAATGTATATCAGGTATTGCATTCTTAAACTAGTAATAAATATCACTGAAGAAATGGCAACATCAATATCTTTACTCCCCTTAACACACCATCACATCACTTTTTCTCTCTGCTAGAACCTCAAAAACAAATCAACCCTATGACAATTATTATCCCCAATGACAGAAAAAAATTCACCAAAAGATCATGATTGAACAATGTCAAAGCAGTTTTTTGATTATAATTAACAAGTCAAAGTTAAAAACAATTGTGCTAGATTAAAACAATAAATTGGGATATTAGGAATTTATTAACTCTAAATATTTTTATTTTTAAAACTAAGTTTTAAACTACATTTCTATTTTTTAACTTATCAGCTCAGCACTGATGTACTTGTGACAAGTTTATGCCTATACTTCTTTTTGGAGTACAAGGAATTTCAATTTCACTTTTTACAGCTTGAAATAGATGGAGTGAGATTTTCAGAACAGGGATTGATTCTTGCGTTTGGGCCTGAAGTACTATTCCATTTAAAGTGTCCATAAAAAATTTATAAGCTATTATTGATTAATAACAATTAATTAACATAACTATGGTAATAGATACAAAAAATATGGAACTGTTCAAATATTGTGTAGGCATATTTTTAGCAATTTTAATTTTCGCACCCACCTTTTCAGCAACACTAAGCAATTCACAACTCGCTCCTATGCTCACGTAAGAAAGTTGCTACACCTCCCTACAGAGTTTCTGCTTCAACTTTTACTATTTTTTCAGTTTCAGAATTAAATTCAAATAAAAAGATGCACAACTGCATTTTTTGAAGTGCAAATCGATTTTGGATACCCCTAAAGTTCAGTGGTGCTGGAATTGCACTAAACTTTGCCTTAAACAAAATTTAAGAAATAATTCATTTTGTAAAATTATGAGTCAAATATTCAGTAGGAATCTTTTGTGTTTTCCCCTCTTGAGCTATGAAATTCTTCATATAAATTTTTTTCTAACTTTTTCATTCCCTAAATTTAACTTTTATTTCACATTTTAAATTTTTCCATTTATAATTTTTTTGTTACATTTTTATTTTGCTTTTTAAGAAAATATTGAAAATAAGGTGATTTTAATATAATCGGAAAGCATTGTCATTGCTTATACTCCTCCTACCCCTTGGTCAGAAAAAAATAAGCAAATTATAACCTCTGTTAGGAACTCACATAACATTTCAACGGCCTCTTTGTGGTAATAGGTACCTAATGTAAGTAACTGTGGTAATAGGTTTTCTCAAGACCCCATGAAATCAAACAGTACCACTCTGGTCCTATTTCCTTGATGACAATATTTCTTAAGAATTAAGTGAGAGATACTTGATAAATTTGTCCTACATCAAAAATTAAAGATAATTGTCATACAAAAACAAAGAAGCTCAGAGAATATTAAATAATTTGTTAAAAAAAAGGATATTTCTGTATCATGATCTGTCGCACCAACTACAATAGCTGTGCCAACTAGATTTTAAACTTGAATTTTTTTTTTTTGAAAAAAAACCATGTAGATCTTTTCAGGAGGGTGGCTACGAGTTATACTCTTCGAGTTGGTACTTTTCTGTGATGATTTTTTTTTTAGTTTCTCGCGGACCACTGCTGGGAGGTTGTCAATACTTCGCGATTATTCTGCCACAAATCACGATACGGAAATCTCCCCATTTCTTTATTTTCTCATATAATTTGTAATGCATAATTAATGGAATAAGAGAAAGATTAATATTGCTTGGGAGGATATTTAACAACCAGAGTATAGTTTTACAATTTAATTTATATCAAAAGCTCGCAATTAAACTTGATTTGTAATCTAGTGATCAAAAAAGTAGTGATTTATTCAACAGCAAACAGAATTATACATTCAATCAATGTAAATCAAATACAATGCAAATAAAATTAATGATAAATAAAGAAAAAATATTAACTAGTTTCATGATTGATTCCCAATGTTGCTAAATTTGTTACAGTATAGTTGATGTGTAACTTTTTCGAAACACCAAAAGGAAATTTATCAAACTTAAGAAATTAAATTTAAAAGCCGAAATCACGAAACCGCATGTTTTGAAAACATATTATTTGTTATTGTTAATATATTAGTGCGGCGGCAAATAGTTCGTTCGTTAATAATTAAAAATTAGAATATGATCCATCGTTCGAACCATTTATAAAAAGTTGAAAAAGTTTGTGCAGTTTACTAGTAGAAAACTTTAGAACGCACACGTTAGAAAATATTTACATTATGTTTCGCTGAAACCGTAACTAAAATCGAAATCAACTCAGTCACCGTCACAGTTGTTTTAAAAGTGCATATTTATTAATTAGTTACATTTATTGAGCAAGTATTTAGAAAATTCTTTTCAGAATTCATCAGCAAAGTAATTAGTTATCAAAATAAAGAGCACTCATTAAGAAGTAGTTAAACTACGCTTTTTTAAGCGAAAGCCACGATTCTGATCGTGGACCAATCAAGCTTGGCCACGACCTGTCAAATACGTTTTTTAAACAGCTGCCTGTTTGTTGATGATTAGACTTGTGTCTGTGGGTACAACCGGCTGAGCAACTGCGCATGCGCAGGGCGAAATTTTTCGACGCCTCAGCCAGTTGTAAACAACGAAAAGTTGCCAAATGTTGCAAACCTATCTCTTTACAACTGGCTGCGAGATTTTCGGCTTTGGATAGAAAGTTTATTAAATCATTGCCAGATGGCGCTGAATTTCAACGAACAAATGGTGATAAGAGGAATAAATTTTCATTTAATAATGATGTTAAGTTATTAATGAATTTTTAGAAAATACATGAGTTTTTAAAATTGTTTTATAATATTCATGACAAGAAAAAATAAGTGTGTGAAGTAATTAACTTGTAATATACTATTATATAATTAATCTTATATAATAGTATCTTTGGCTATACCCATATCTTTAAAAGTATGCAAACTCATGATAATTTTTTATTTAAAAGAATTTTTCAAGCATATGTATGTATATATATGCATTCCAAATTCATGTGAATAGTTAGATAAATAGCTATATATTAACAAAATCTATTATTTAAGTGGTAGTACATATTTTTCTCATTAAGAAATTGTATACAATTGAAAAACAGAGTATTTGGTAATTCAGTTTCACTATCTTAACATTTCATTCTTTGTAAATATTAAAGATTGATACAAAACATGGATAAAATTAATTTGATCCTATTCAGAACACTCATTTAAAGCCTACTTCATACAAATAGGTAAAATTATTGTTACGTGTCATTATATGTAAATTAATTTTACATGATTAAATATTGTAATTAATATGATTAAATAATATAATTTCAATATGATTATGACAATCTTACTGCTTTAATTATTATTTCTCACATGATTAGGCGAAGCATAATTTGCCTTAAAATATGTATTTGTAACACAGAAGATTTAAAAAGATTCTTAGAATTGAAGAAACAAAAATAGACAAGTATATAATGACACATTACTGAAATTATACATTTAGTTGTTAATTATGTGGTTTTGATCTTTTAAGTACAATTTAAAAACTATTGCCAATAAATGTTTCATGGAAATTCAGCCACTTAAACCCTTTGCATTCTGAGTACTTTAAAATGATTTTTTTTTTCCTTACAAGTTTATTTAAAATATACCACTTTCTAATAACTAACAATCATAAAATAATGTAATTAATATTAAAAAACATTTTTTAAGTGGTTACTTTTGATGTCACATCAGAATTAGAAAATTTCAAAATAATAGGTATATCCTTTCTTAAAATATAAGTTATCTTGCCATATTGTACTTAAGTCTATGCTGTTATTATGCCTTATACTTACTAAGTAATAAATATTTATCAAATAAGTAACACCAAGAGAAGCATATTTTATCTTAAAAACCATTTAACACACCACAAAATATTAAAATCATAAAACAAACATCAATTAACAAAATTAACTAACTCAAACTGTATATAAGCCCATGTACTAGTAAAAACTGAACAGTAGGCTTTATTATTTGGGAATTCATGTGAAAACCTTGAACAAGCTGTAAATAAAAAATTAGGCATGCTACGCTTGTAAATAAAAATGCACCCTCTTGCAATGATTGTTACACAGTACGTATAAGCACGAACATATTGATTCACGATTAGTAGATTAAATAATAAAAGTATTCCATTCAAATTGTCATTATTTTTCTTTATTTACCAACTGTCATTATTTCGCCACAAAAGGAGAGGCACTTTTGGTAATGTCCTAGTGTAAATTTTCAAAGCTAGTGAATCGGATAAGCTGACCTTTCCCCTTTAGCATTCATAAATGTTTTGCTCATGATTGGACATGGTAATTAAAACACATTGGACACCAATGAATACCTCACTAACTGTCCTACTTTGGCTCTTAGATTTAGTAAGATAATGCAACACTTAATATGCACTATACAAAATTGTTAAACATCTAGGTATCCAAAATCCATAGGTTAAATGAACTTTTCATATTAGTTGCTAAAAGAACTTAAATATAATGCAGTACATGTCAATAAACATGGAATTCCACATACAACTTAATAATACAATATATATCCCTTTTTAAGAGGATGTAAACAAAAACTATATACATATAAGGTAATATACTCACCAATCACCATTATACTTACTAATACACCTATATTATCAGATTCCCAAAAAACTCCACATCGAGAAAATTGTTTGTGGAAATCAAAAGATGCGGCTTAGAAGGGGCAATAGAAAGAAAGACTTGATATCAAAATAATAAACAAGTTCCCTCACTAAAGCCCCACTGAGCCATTGTGCATCATAGATTATCGCTAAACTGCATCACTTCTCCACAGTTAAAGGTAATGCTTGCACAACCTCTGCTTAAGAAATCTTACAATACTTATATACATTCTGGTATTTCATCAATTATTGATGGGAAATATATATAATTATAAAATAATCTTAACTTTACTGGAATTTTGCACAAGTAGATTCAGTAGAAAATATGTCGCTAAATACATCATTTAGTAAAAACTACCCCAATAATAAAACAATGAAAGACTCAGATAACATTTGATAGATTTATTATGGTGCTCTTTTATATTAACTTAGTTAAATTTACTTCAATGTGATATACAAGTCTACAGTTACCACATTACTACGTAAGCTCAATCATAGTAGTCAAATTTTTTTATCATAGAAATACAATAGGGATTATAAACACATCTAAAAATTTCAATAAATTCATCTTTATAAGTATCATAATTTAAGAATCTACATACGGTTAAATAATCTTAAAGAAAAGTAATTATAATGTCAATATACCATCATTTACAATTAATAACCTTTCAATTGTAAATGATGGTACATTGACACCTTTTAAAACCATATAATTACCATTTATTATATTTTCTACACACATAAAAGAATTAGAACAGTTCAGAAATTTTTTATTGATTACAGTTTAAATATGCAAAAGAATAAACTACCGAATATTTAAAATAATACTCTTTTATTAACAGACATTTTATATTATATTACATTTCCTATTTTATCAAAGATAAAATAGGAAAACAAATATGTAACTAAGCCTAACTCAGTAACGTGGAAATCTTTAACTACTTTATCACAGATAATTAGAATTATAAAATGTCGTAAACGCTTCTAAATACATTGATACAATATTATAAACAGAAAAAAATTATTTAAAACAATTAACTTACTTTATTTAATGAATCATAAATAAAGAGCTTAGTATTACACTAGCAATCGAAACTACACTTAATTACACCTGTAAGCAACAAACTATGTATACCTCCGCGCAATCTCTTCAACAGGGTTACTTTTCGAAATTATTTGGTGAAAATTAAATTCTAGCCAAGCATTTCAAGCGCATGCGCAGTTGCTCAGCCGGTTGTACCCACAGACATAAGTTGATGATTAGTGATACGTAAGCATACGCATACTTAAGAAGAGCCGGGTCCCTCGATGTTTATTTGAGCCGGTATTTATGAAATCTGAAATTATGTATTTTTCAGGTAAATTATTATGAATTTTATTATTAATGTGAACAAAATCTATTTTAGGAAACATCAAAGTTTCCTAATGTATGCCTAATTTTGTTACTTTGTTGCATTGTATTTATTGACATTTTATATTTAGGTTTATTGTTTCTCCAAGCTGTTTTCACTCTATCATTTGCATTTTATGAAAATAACAATGAAGTTGTTGAACTGAATCCGTCTTCTTTCAACTCTAGAGTGGTGGATAGTGATGATATATGGATTGTTGAGTTTTATGCACCATGGTATGTAAAACTTCCTGACGCTGACTAGTTCAAGCTTTGTTCAGATTTCCAAATAAATTTCAAATATTTGATTTTGTTGAATGTATAATGTTGCCAGAATCAATTTTAAAAAAGTCGTAAAAATTTACAAACTAGGTGAAGTTCATTATTTAAATTTTATTGTGGTCCTATTTTTGCAAATATTTTTACACTACAAGATTTTACTACTGACATTAAATTATAGATTCACTTTTTAAGTTGATCTACGTACGAAGATCTTTGTGTAATTATAATTTTTGCCACAGATCCAATATAAGAAGCAAGATAATAAAAGAAAATTAAGAATAAATTACAAAAACATATGGATATATTATATCTGCACCTATATCAGTTTAGACAATTGAATATATATTTCATTTCTAAACAGATTTTGTGCATTAGCTTCTAAACATTTTTAGCATTGTTGTTATAATCATTGAAAGAAAGCAAATTCAATATTAATGTCAGACAAGCACTATATAACATGTTTATTGCTTATACAGGAATCATACTGTATTGATGCTAAATAGAAGTTTTGTTGGAAATTATAATTATTTAGAAATATCTCAATGTACCTGTTTGCGTCAATTGAAACTATTGAGTTCTTCTACTTTGATTAGATTTAAAATGTCTATAGTAGTTTGCCCAGAAATGCTTACAATTTTGTCTGCTTTTGTAACGTTTATTTTTTAGTTTCTATTTTTTAGTTTCGTTTGGATCACTACCCGGTTGTTACCGAAACTTGGTGATTTAGGAACAAGCATCAAATTATAGAAATCTTACTAGCATTAAACATTAGTTGCCTTTATAATTTTTTTCAAGCAATAGTTACTTTGCATAAAGTTACTTTATATCAATGCTTATACTGTACTTTTATTTTTTTACTTTTGGTTGATATGCAAGGTTTACCTTCTTCTGAATTAGTTTGTTCTTATATTAGGAATCTGATCTCAAGTTTTTCAGATCTTAAGGAAATGTTTTAATAAGATAGATTAAGTAACGTTCACATTTTGAAAAATATGCTTCAGTTACAAAAATTATATTGTAATCTTTTTATTAAGTCTGCACACTCATTTCAGGTAGTGAAACTATAGTTATGCTCAAAATATGTAGATAAAATACTAACTTAGTAACTAACTTAGTCAATGTAAGCACTACAAACCTAAGTGTTAGAGTGTTTGTTGGAAAATAATTGATGAAGAAAGTGTGTATTAACATTGAAGCTTCTAATTTTTATTCCTTGTACTCATAATTGAGAAGAATGTGAAAATAATCTTTTTACTTTCAGTGTTTTAAAACGTTTAAAAAAGAATTTATTTTAAGTTGGCAAGTATACATTCAATGTTGTCTCAAAATATAGTTTTTCTTTTTAAATGTTAAAATAAAAATTATAGCTATTAAAATAATATGCCTATTGAAGTTAAATAAAAATTATTGTTTAAAAGGAAATGGGAAATATTTAATTAAAATTCATTATAATACAGGTTTTAATCCATATCTTTGACTTGCACCTGACATTTTTTTATATTTTGTATCACTTATTTGCATTAAATTTATAATATAAGAAAGAAATGTTTTACATTGAAAAAATATAAATAGGTTAAATGATTAATAGAGAATAAGTCTGGAATGATTTAACTTCTATCTAACATTTCTTTATATCCATTTACTGAAGATATTTCCACGTTTTGATATTTCAAATCTGTATCTATAACTAAAATTTTTAACTATTTTAATTTTTGGAATATTGTTTATTTTTTAAATTATGAAGTTAATCCTATTTTTATCAAAAATTTTATTAAAATACTTTAAATATAAATGATTTATTTCCAATGTTTTTGTAAATATAAATATTTTTTTTTTTTTTGCTTATATGTTTATTTCTACTTTACTGTAGGTGTGGTCATTGTCAAGCTTTAGTGTCAGAGTACTCTAAAATGGCAGCTGCTGTAAAGGTAATTAGTAATTTAAAGTACTAAAATTATTTATTCTTTCTTCTATTAGGAAAATTGTTCAGTGTAATTTTATGCTTGCGCAATCATTAAATATTCTATGAAAAGTTATAAAATTTATTTTTATAATATCAAAAAATTATTTAAAAATGTTTTTCTTTCTCTTTTTAAAATAAAATTTCTGTAAGATCTACTTCTGTATTTATGTTAATAATTTTTCATCCTTTTGCTACTATAAAATATTTTATTTAACTCATTTAATTTGCAAATAATTGGTTGAAAGAGTTGTTACAATGTTCATACGTATTCACATTAAATGCTATTAATATATGTCAAATAACTAATGTGGAAGTCTGAGTTAAATGAAATTATCTAACTGTTTTGATTAGCTCCTTTCTATTTAATCAGTCAATAAAATAGTTTTGCTGCTTTCAGTCTCTTCTTCATCTGTTGTGATCATTTTATTTTTACGTGCTTCAATACTATCCTTATTGTGTGTGTGTTTTTTTTCTTTTTTTTTATTACTTATTTCTAAAAAAGGTAATTATTTCAAAAGTACATGATTTTTTAAAGGAATTTTTTTTTTTTTTGCTCTCTCTTTTTAAAAAAAATGCATTATCTTTTAGGGTATTGTAAAAGTAGGAGCTGTAAATGCAGATCAACATCAAACTCTTGGACAGAAGTATGAAATTCGAGGATTTCCCACCATTAAAATATTTGGCTCTAATAAAAATAAACCAAAAGAATATTCAGGTCCTAGAACTGCTCAAGGAATGGTTGATGAATTATTCAAAGAATTGAAAATACAAGTGCAGGCTAAACTAAGTGGCAAGAAAAGTGATAGCAGTGGTGGAGGCAAAAGTCGTAAAGAAGTAAAAAAAAAATTTTTACTTGATTTTAAACATCTTTACATTTAGTAAACTTTGATAAAATAACCCTTAGTATCGATAGATTTCTTTTACTTATGAAAAATACAGGTATACATTCTATTAAACGCATTCTCCTAATTTATATGTAAACTAAAAATATTGAAGTGATTTAGTTTTGAATATTTTGGTTTGATACAGTAATTTACTTAATATGTGATCAGAGGTTCGTCTAGGCCAAATTTACTACCGTTTAGCGGTATCTTCACAAATTCAACTTTAGGAAAAATTTCACAAAATACTTTTTCTTAAAATTTTATTTTTGTATCCCGTAAGAAACGATAAATCCATATTTGTGTGTTGATTTTTTTATGTAATTTTTAAGTTTCACAAATTATGCCTAAATTTTCACAAAAAAGGTACCTTTCAGAAAAACCTAGACAGAACCCTGGTGAACGTTGTATATGTTTTGAGGAAAGATAAGTTAGGCTTAATAATTATTTAAGTCAAGCTTTATGATATAAAAAGAAAACTTAATGTCTGTACATTTTTATTTACTTACATACATATTTTTTCTTTTAATTTTAATTTGACTGATGTATATAAATGATATGGTTATGTTTCATTTCATTGATAAAATTTATATTTTAGGGAGATAAAAAAGATGTTATTGAACTGACTGATTCTAATTTTGAAGAAACATTATTGCAAAGTAAAGACATGTGGCTAGTTGAGTTTTATGCTCCTTGGTGTGGACATTGTAAACGCTTAGAACCCCACTGGACTGAAGCCGCCACTGAGCTAAAAGGAAAAGTTAAATTAGGCGCATTAGATGCTACTGTTCATACAATAATAGCCAATAAGTATGGTGTAAGTGACATCAAGATTGTTTATGTATAATTTTATTTCCAGTTGTTCCATCGTCTGTAATTCAACATAGAAATTTTTATTTGTGGAGTATGCCTGTTAGTAATGGATTCTAATTTTATTTAAGTTTTATACAGTAAAAGATCTATATAATGCAATTCTTTAAACCGCAATTCTCTATAAATTATACTAGCTTTCTGAGTGTTAACAGTGAAATTTGAAATTCTTGCTTATTTATTGAAATTTCTTAACTTTTTACATTATTTGCTAACAGGTTTAAATTTTGAAAGCTTAACAAACGAAAATTTATTAATTTGTTTGTTACTAGTTCTAATGCTGCAGAAAATTTCAACTTTTTTCTGTGAAACATAAGCACTTAAATACATATTTTGCATTTTTAAAGTGAAATGATCTACGTAACGTGAAATTCCATAAAACTCAAAACATCACGTTTCAAGGTTTATGTTATAAAGGACTGCTGTATTTCTTAAATTTTGACCAAAATATTATGTAATGTAAAAATTTGATTTGAAGAATTTTTACTATATATAAAAAGAAGCTAGGCTTCTAAATCCACTTAGTTTTAAGATAATGGTAAGAATATTTCATGTGTAAGCATACGCCTATTGTAGATTATTTCAGTGAGTTCAGTTTTAAAGGTTCAAAAAATTATAAACTTGGAGGTAATAGATAAAGACCACCTTTTATATTTTGTAATATCATATATTATGTTATATTATATATATTATATATGTTCTATTATATATTGTTATATTATATGTTATGTTACATTAGATGTTATGTTACATTATATATATTACATTATAAACACTTAACTTGTGAAATATTTTCAAAAATTAAATTGTCTTTTAAGATTAGGGAATTTACTAATGTAAAAGAAAAATAAATATCAAGGATAATTTTCTTTGCTTTTCAATAATCTTTATTTAAAATTGTCAGTAGCTTTAGTTTTAAGTTACTTCTAAAAAAAATAAAAAAAAATAAAAAAATGTTTTGCAAGACCCATATTTTTGTATTGATAATTAATTAAGCAATTTTTTTCTAAGACCAATTGCTTGCTAAGATTTGGGAAATTTAGTTATGCAAGAGAAAAAAATCAAAAATAGTTTCCTTAGCTTTTTTTTCATTATCTCCATTTAAAAAAATTAAATTTTATGTGTAGTTTTTAAATTTAAAAAAAAAAATTATAAATTAACTGTATTGAGTTTATCCAAATAAAAAACAATTGTAATATATTTTAATATGATGCTTGTTTTTGTATATTAGGTAAAAGGATTTCCTACTATAAAATTCTTTCCACAAGGTGTTAAAGATGGATCAGCTGAAGAATATGATGGAGGTAGAACAGCATCAGACATTATAAATTGGGCTTTAGAAAAACATGCAGATCTTGTGCCTCCTCCTGAAGTCTTACAAGTATGGTTTTAATAATTTTTCTTTAAAAAACTTGCAAAATGTTTTCAATAAAAGGCCGTAATCCTCTAAATTTTTAGATGGTAAAAATCAGATTAAAAAAAAACATTTAAGCATTAGAATGTAAGTAAACAAAATGTTACAGAGAGATAATTATAAAAGTTTACTTCAGTTCATACCATTTCTTCCTAAAAGTTTTCATTGTCTTCATTGCACTTTTCAACTGTAAAACTTTTTCCAATTTATTATAAATTCTAATCTATAAAATTTTTTAAACATTGTTTTTGAATTATTGTTACAATACATATTACAATCTAAATTATAAAAATTTTTTTCATACTAAGCAAAAGTTTAATTATAAGCAACTACTTTAATAATTAAATAAGAATAAATAAGCAAGATATTTTTATAAAGGATTGTGAGAAATTCTAAAAAATAATTTGCTCTTATTTTACATTTTTGTGTCAATGCTTCAGATGAATCCCTTGTTTCAGATACAAAAACAAAAAATTCCTGATGTTCTTGCATCTCATAATTTTTGAAGAATTAGTGAAAAGGAAGCAAAATGTTTACTGCTAAATTTAATGTACAATAATGGTGAAATATTCTAAATAAATTCCTCAAAGATTTTTCCAATATGAAATATTTTCCTGAAATTCATTATGCTTAGTCATTAATATTCACTGTTAGAATTAAAGTTCAGTTATGAAAATAAATTTCTTTAACTATTTGAGTGTTTAGCATGAAATTTTTTTTCATTATTTGTCATTCATAGATATTTTAATATCAATGAATATGAAATAATGAGAACTTTTTTATTATTTGATAATGTTGAAAAATATATGAATTTAATTCTTGCAGCTTTAATATTAAGATTTATAAATGACCAAATCTAGCTTAGTCTTTAATACACCAAATTAAGTTTTATTTTTCTTTAATTAAAAAAGCACAGTTCATGATTTTAATGATAATAATAGTATAATGAACATAACTCATTGCTGTTTTAGGTCACAAATAATGAAATATTGAAACAAGCCTGTGAAGATTCTCCCTTGTGTGTCATCAGTATTTTACCTCATATTTTGGACTGCCAATCTGCCTGCAGAAATGAATATCTTGACATCTTAAAGAAAGCTGGGGAACGTTTCAGAAAGAATAGATGGGGCTGGATTTGGGCCGAAGCAATGGCACAACCACAGCTAGAAGACTCTTTGGGCATTGGTGGATTTGGTTACCCTGTATGTGAATATGTTTAATGTATCTATTTTCAAAAATATTTTTTAACATCGATAAATGGTTTTCTTTTTCAACCAAATGTTGAGCAATATTTTTAGGATTTAATATTCTGTAGTGTTCAAAGGATTAGTTTTAACTGTTTCCATAACTATATTTTTTTAAAAATGTTCTTAAGTTAATTTCTGCTTATTAAAACTAGATTGTGAATAAGCATACAATTCAAGTTTAACCAACACTTACAACACAATAAGATAACTGACAAACCCTCTATAAAGCATCTTCTATTTAAATGTAGTTGTGGTTAAGATAAATGTAAATTAAATTTTTTAAACTAATAATAAAGTATAGATGTAAAAATTTTTCGACCTTATTCAATATAAAAAAATAAAAATTGGAAGAGTTGGGGGTTCTAGAAACAAGTTCAAAAGTGAAATAGAAATGTTAATACATTAGATAATTTTAAAATACGTGGTAAAGATCCATACTAAAACTGGGTCATCCATCAATGCATCAGAAAATATCAATTAAGCTTTGGGTTGGGTTTTTTATATATATAGGGTGGCCAAGGTACGTAGCGTTTTTAAAAAGTGCTTAAAGGTACTTTTTTTATTGGGTGTTTTTAAAAAGTGCTTAATTTTCCCTATCGAAAAGTTTTTTTTTCTTCTTTACCATGTTGATTTTTTCCACATATTATGCCAAAGCGTGCTTTTCACATTGTTCTATTCAACGTTTTCACAATTAATTCGACCATGATCCATTTTGGTCCATAGCGTATGAAGGCACCAATCATGTTATATATTTAATGAAATACTTGCGGTGCCACAGGTGCGTGTACTGAGCTGGGTTCGGTGAGATTCTTGCACTCTCATGTGCAACTCTGCTGCATTTTCCAAGATATTCTCAATTTCAGGCTTCATTTTTCACCCTCTGAAGAAATCAAACCGAAAAATCTCTCTATCATTTTATAATGGCTAATATAATCCAGAAATGAGTTCTTTGTCAGAAACTAATTATTTTATCATGATCCTGTAAAGTTTTAGAAAATAATTTTGCATTTTGTTAATGTATATAGTGCTTAAATATATTTTTTAAGTGCTTAAAAAGTACTTTAAAGGTGCTTATATTTTGTTGAGAGGTTTGGCTACAAACCCTGGCAGCGTTTCTCCACAAAATTATGGTGCCTTAATTAATCAAATGTTTAAAAAGTGCAAGATTTCAAAATTTTACATTACCGTATGTAAAGCCCTAATGTAATTTTTTGAACTGATGTAACAAAACTTCAAAGGACCTTTTACACATTTGAAGTTGATCCTGAAAATTTGTTATATTCTGGATGAATAAAATTTTCCATTCCAATTAAAACAGCATAGTGTGTTGAAAAAATTTGGTGAATGATCTTATAGGACACAAGAGATAGAAACTAAATACATTAACCGGCTTTTAAAATTATTGCCATTAGATGCTATTTACTTTTCAATCATTTGTATAGCTGCTAGAAACCATCAGCAAATGCTTCTTTCATGATCATTTGAAACAAAATTGTTGGATCTGTGCGATGTCCAAAAAGTGTAGAACTCTTATCTTCCTCTTCATTTCTAAAATGTTTAAATCAATCAAGAACACACTTTAACCACTGCTTCATGCTCTCACACTTTTACCATTTTCATGCTCACATTAAGTGTGTTAGTTGATTATAATATTTAATTTTCTCAGTTTGGATGCTAAGAGGTATTGTTTGTCTCACAATACATATAATTGAGAACAACATTCCAACCCACTTGGCTAACCTGCAAGTGTCTTCGCATTTTACTTGTCCTAGCTAGCATCTCTTAATTTTCAACACACTGCACACAGCAAAAAGAATTTCCCAAGCGTAAATAGTGCCCTAATCAAACAGTTTTTATTTCTATAGAAAATAATTTATAGAATGTTTTTCATGAATACAAAAAAACTACATGCTAAAGAAACTAAAAAAAAAGGGGGGGGGGGAATTACTAGCGGTTATCAGGTATGCAGTAATAATTATGAATTTTATAAAATTTCCATGTGAAAAAAGGTTTTGAATTTTTTATTCATAAGTTTTATTTTTCTTGAAGAATGATCCAATGTTGTCTATTTCTATCTCCAACTATATATTTTTTTTCTTGTCTTTTCAGGCTATGGCTGTTGTAAATGCTAGGAAAATGAAGTTTTCAATTCTTAGAGGACCTTTCAGCTTTGATGGAATTTCTGAACATATTCGGTAAATTTTAGTTTTAGAATATACTTGTAGTGTTATTAAATTTTCAGAAATGTTTTTTTTTTTATGAATATTATTTTTAAACAATTTTTTTCATACGGTACTTTCCTTATTTAAAGTTTTTTTAAAATTATTGCTATTTGAAACACTTTCAAAGAAAATTTTTTAAAAATCACATTTTATAACCTTACTATAAAAAAAAAAAAATTTGTTTTCAATAGAATGCTGTTTAATCCAAATGTCGTCTTTTGTTTTAAATATTGTGATAATAAGGATAACATCTTTACTACTCTAAATAACTTGATAGCTTTTCTAAGCAGGACAGCAACAATATGAGAATTTGTCCTGTAAACGTTTCAATTCACCATGATGATCAGATTCAAGCAATTTCTCATGCATTTGAATATACAAAGAAAAAGAGAATACTAGAGCTTTAGAAGAATTTTGAAGAGATGTATCAGCTTATTAACCAAATCTATCATTTTAACAAATTTAAATTAATTCTTATCTCTCAAAAAAGATTGACCACATGGCAAGTAAAATCATCCCTTCAAGTTTTTATAGGCATAGAAGTTTTGATAAATCATGGCATTGCTTTAATGAAATTCTAAATTTTTTAATTCCATCTTCTAAGAACATTGTCTGAAATGTTTTATTGATTAAATAATTTTCGTTTAATCTCCTTTATTTTGTTACAGAGCTGTTTCTGTTGGACGTGGTAGCAGTTCTCCGATCAAAGGTGCTAAATTACCAGAAATTACTGACAGTGAACCTTGGGATGGCAAAGATGGACAAGTATGTAATGGCTTAATTCTATTTGTATTATACAGGGTGTTTCAGAAATTAACTCATTTCAAGAAAAGAAGAAGAAAAAATTTACTTTGACACATCCACACATACTCCTACCTCACATATTCATTGAATTCAACATAACTTCCCTGGGGCCCTACCATGAACTACAGGGTATGGAATAGAGAATCCCAGCTAGAAAGTAAAACTGGGAATGTTTGGTTTCATGAACCCATGATACCGTACCATGAACACTCTCATGGAATCAAACAAAGTTATTGTTTTTACTGATAGTTGAATAAATATGTTAATATGAAATTGCGTTAATTTATAGATTTGTGTAAGAATTTTTTTTTCGTCGTTTGTAACATCATTTACGTATTAAATACTTATAAAAGCATAGTTCAAGGAGCTTCTTCCACAGCTTTTATATTATATCTTTTACTGGAAGAATGAGAATATGGTTGATTAAACTTAGTTAAAGAAGAAATAAATAAATAAATATTTATTTCATAAATATTTTTCGCAACTTTTTTTTTTACCTGTTATTCTTATTCACATCTTTTCTTGTAAATAAATTGTTTTCTTTATAATGCATCCCTGTGGCAAATTCTTTTAATTATGCTGCCATTTGTGCATAGTATAAGGAAGCATTGTTCGAAATGAAGTGAAAATACTGTTGAATTATCTGAGAGATCTGACTCCAAATTTGTCAAAAAATGTATATGTGTTTAGAGAGAGCATTTTTGTTGACTTTCATAATTTAAAATATCTGCACTAATTAGAATATTTTAAGTCCACCTCCAATGGATCCCTTCTCACGTTGGGGTACTGGGCAATGACATCGCCGACACGCTGGCTAAGGAGGGGGCAGAAGAAACTTTGAGTCCAAGTTCACTCACCTTCATGGAACTGGCATCAAAAAAGAAAAAAGAAGTCAATGTTTTCTGGCTCGTACCCCCCAAACATCACTGGTACCAGAGCACCCGTCCAGGAGGTGCACTCAACATTCGGTGCAATCACAAGGAACAGACAGCACTTACCAGGCTTATCAGCGGCCACCTTAAGTCCCTTTCTTTCGAGGGTAGTGTTAAATCCTACCCAAACTGCCCCAGGTGCCACAACATGCAGGCTTCTCCCCAATATATCCTGGACTGTCTTGGTCTAGACAAAGAGGACATTCTGAATAACCCACTTTTGGTGGTCGACTTCCTCCAGGTCATGAGTTTCATGGATATTGCTTAGCCCTGCTAACTTTGGGGATAAGGAAGAAGAAGAAGAATATTTTGGGTTAGGCCCTTGAACCATTTATATTGTGTCTTAGTACGTGAAAACGTGATCATTAAATCAAGAGCAGTTCAGGGTTTTCCCTTTTTTTGTGTGTGTGTTATACACATGGGTGCAAGTCTTCCGTCCCCAGGACGGATTTCCGTCTTTCGAAAATGTCCGCGGAGGGAAGTAAGAGGGAAACAAGACTGACTCGAAGGCGGAAATCGGAATTTTTTTTTCTGTCCTTAAAAATATTTTTTAGGTCTACGTTATTGGTCTACTTTCTTATGTCCTGTTGTTATTTTATCAAAAGACAGATGAATAAATATTTTTTGTACAGTATTTAAACTTGATGTATTATGGTAAAGCTTTCTTACATAGTTTTGCATATTTAGTATTGTGTATGTTAGGTATTTCAGTCAAAAAAATTTCAGTCTTGGCCTTTTTTCCAACTTGCACCCATGGTTATACGCTGGGGATTTAGTGTAACTCCATGCAAAAAAAAAGTTAAAAAGTAAGGTTGTTGGTTTCCCAAACCAGTATTCTGGAAATGTCTGTTAAAGGTAATCTTGCACTATGTGGGTGAAATGTCGAGATGTCCTGTCTTGTTGAAAGATTGTGAATCCAAGAATCACCAAGAGGAACTAGGTACTTGAATTGCTTACAAAAGTTGGTCATTCTTAGATAAAATTTACTTACTCCACTGGCCCCGCTCTGAGGTGGTTTAGAGTTTCTAATCAACAGGACTGTCTGGTCGACATCTTTTTAAAATTGATGTCTTTCCAGACCCCTACTGGACCCTTTGCGGGGAAGCAGTTCCATATGGATGGCTACCTTATTTCCTACTTCAGAGCACTTTGGGGGACTACCTTGGTTGAACATTACTGGAAGGCCAGAAACTGAATGAGACAATGACCAGGGTGGCCACCCACCTGGAAAACCAGGAATTATCAGAGAATTTTTTTATACTGGAAAAGTCAGGGAAATTTGGATAAAAACCTGGAAAAATCAGGGATTTTTAAAGAAAAGCTGGAATTTTTTCTTAATTTTACTAATTTAAATTATTTACTAATTTTCTTAATTAAAATTATTTTACCATCTGTTATACCCACTTTCAGACCAAAATTTATTGCCAAGCAGTTGAAATACCACCAACTTAGCAATACTTACATCAAAAATTTGGTCCGTTATAACCCTGTTAAACTAAAATTCCACATGAAATTCCAATGGTTTCTTAAAGAATAGATTCCATTCCCATGAGGTGACCTGGCTAGCACTCTATCCCCTGAGTCAAAGATGATAAAATAACATTAAAAAAAATAATATTTTAAATAAAATACTTTATAATATTGACACTTTTCTTGTAGACATCCTACACTTTATGAGGGGGAAAAAAGCACATTGACCTGGAAATTTTAAGATTTTTACCTGGAACAATCAGGGAAATTTGAAACCCGATTTGAGTGGCCACCCTGATGACTTTTCTATATTTCTTCTATTGTTCTTAGTTTTTACTAGTTAGATTTTTTAAAGTTCGTCGCCATTGAAAATTTAAAAAAAGGATCACATATAACTTCTATCATGAAATGAGTTACTTGAAATGAAACACTCTAATTTTATATATAAAAAAGCTAAATTTTTAAAAACTAATAATTTTTCTTTCTCTTCAGTTACCTGTAGAAGAAGATATCGATTTGAGTGATGTTGACTTTTCTGATGATGACTCGGACACACAAAAACGAAAATCTGAACTCTGAGATGTGATTATAGAACTTAAATAATTGTGCATTACAAATCACTACAATTGATTTCATCTATCATTTGCTACTATTGTCTCATCATCGAGAAGTGCGGAAATTGTTTGTTCTTTCCGAGACAGGCCAGTGCAAATCTAACAAACTTCTGGAAGTGCTTTAATAACAGAATTATAGTTTATATTGAAGTAAACTTTATTTTATGAACGTCTGCATTGTTTTCTATTTATTTTTTAACATTTGTGTCACTGTGTATCGTTGTCAGAAGTTTGTCAGGCTAGATCTCACCAACGTTTGATTCTCTTCCATTGGAACCGTTGGCCGTGATCACAAATGTCTTCATACTTAACTATGGATCAAAGCTGTTTTCTTTCCTTTGTCCATGGCAATGTTTTGTAATAAATAGATTTTTCTATTAGTCTCATGTTTATTAATCTAGAAAAGGTTAAATTACAGAGAATAAATTAAAATTCCTTGCCGAAGGTCCCATATAATAAAGTGATATAACACATATGCTTTGTTTACTTTTCACTTAATAGCTATATTAAACATACTCTAGTTTGCATGTTAAACTATTTTATTGTTGCAGAGACTATGGATAAAGTAATTTTAACCAACATACTCAATATTTTCTAATGGCATTGTTTAAATTGCGATCCATGTTTTTAATGGAATTTAAAGACTTTTCTACAATATTTTTCATGTATTTCATTTTGATATATCTTTTAAGAATTTTTTTTTTTAATGTGTAGACTTGACTGAAACTTTTTGATGTAATTCAAAATATTTAATACGAAATTTAATTATAAAAATTTTTTTACTTAAAAGTGGATGGAAGTGTGCAAGTAGTATGTGGGCTATTTTTTTATTTCCCGGAAATATAAAAACAGAAATTTCACGACTGCTTTTTAACTTATGTTGTCTCTACTGGCTAAACTATTGACTTTTTTTTTAAAAAAAAAACTAATTCCTAATTAGAACGGAATATCACACCTGCCCCTTCTTCTTTGCTTGTAGAAGAAACACTTCCATGCACCCTAAAGTAAAATTCTCTGACTTTTCAGTTATATTGTGAATACTTCTTTTGATAAGCATCCTTCAAATGTTTCTTCCTGATTCTCTGGAATTTGAATTTCGTTTTCTTTTGGTGCCAGCTCCCCTCCCCCTTGTCCATATTGCTTCTCAATCAATTTTGTTACTTAACAATGAACAGACTGTCATGTCAACAAAATTTAAATGATTTTAAAAATTTTAATGTTATAACACAAATTCGGTAATGGTTCTATTGAAATAAAATTAAAATTTGCTTAGTTGACATCACAACTTTGTCCACAAGCTTGTTTTTTATATTCTTATTTAGTTTTTTAAAAAAGTCTTTAAATAATTACCAACAAAATTATCTAGTTTTGTATATATTTTTAATTGCATAGATTGATTAAACATATTTTACATGAAGTTTATTATAAAAGTAAATAAATTTATTTACCACTCATTAATTGTAAAAATGGTAACTAACCATAAATCTTGCATAATAAGATATCTTGCTGTTACTTTTTAATAGGTTAAAGAAACAACTGTTTTAGTTTTAAGCCTTTTATTTCAAATAGTTATCAAAAACGCAACAAAATAATTTTAAAACTTTGTCAACTGATCATGGAGATCTCCCCATTTTGTCAACCTTAAGTACACAACTGATGCAGGGAGATCTTGTTTGGCAATAGTTTTAGCTGTTAAAAACTATTAACATTGGCTAGATTATACTAGAGCACAATTCGTTCGGTCTTCAAAGCATTAAGAAGGAATGATAGAGGGGTATTGCTGCTCAACAAAGTTAAATAAGAAATAAATTTGCACACCATTATTGCTTTTAGGCTGACAATCAAGGACATCTTTATTTATTAATTTCATATCTTGCAATTTTTTTTGTCTGATGAGAATGAGCAAAACTGTAAAATGACAATTATCTTTTTATAATAAAGAGATAAATAAGAATTTGAAAAAAATAGCCTCATTGCATTTAACATATGCATCGTTTGCCATTTAATAAAAGTAATCAAGCCCCAATAAAGAAAAACTAACATTTATATTAATTTCTGGGTTTTTATTAAATTTGCTTTATGTTGAGGAGTCTTATAATAGAATTTATCTAAACTTTTTGTCTGATTTTTTAAGACTTGACTATGAAATTTCTATACCAGAATGGAATTAATGCTTGGCAAAAATAAATATTTGTAAACTAGCTTGTTTTTAAATGCTGAAGTAAGTTACACTATTTTAACTAGTTTAAGTTATGAAAATAGGAATGTAAATTATATAAAACAGTATTCAAAATATCTTCACTGTCCTTGCATAATCTTCCTGATTTTCATCTCTTTATTTCTATGTTTTTATCAAAAAGTTTGTAGAGGCAGTGTATATTCATAAAGTGAAATTTGCTTTTTATTACTTTGTTACAAACTTTTAATACAAATGTACTGTGAATGAATAACTTGGGAAATATTAATGAAAAAAATATAAAGAAAGCTAAACGACACAATATATTCAAAAATTTTATTCATTGTTCTACATCAACACAAGGTATGCAAAAATGAATGTTTACAATATATAGATAATTCTCTTATAAATGTGGAGGAAGGCAGTTGATTTCTAGGTATCATTTACGGGTAACAAGTTCAGATTTTTCACTAAGTATGTACTTCATTTTCTGACTCGTTTGGCACACTTAAACACGTGAAAAACATTGCTCATAGACTAACAATATATAAATGTTTTTTTTTTTAATTGTTTACCTATTATAATTTGTGTAAGAACATTGAATGTAATATCTGGGTAATATACTATCACACATTTTCAAATGGTGGATTATCAAACATATTTTTATAATTCAGTGATTAAAATTTTGGCAACTCATAATTTATTCCTAATTCAACTTCAAACAATACAAAACCTGAAGTACTACATATAAGCTTGTTGAACAGCAAACTTTTATACTTTTCTAAAGCAAATTAAGCTTTGATACACCAAAGCAATGTGCGTGACATCAGTGAATATTTAGAATATTGCAAAATAGTGATAAATAATATGTACATTTTAAGAATTTTGTATTTTATAAGTGATGTAACCTCTAAAAATATTTATTTTCTATTAGGTTTGGTTCAAAAAAATTTCCTATACAAAATTTGATAAAGGATTCTAGAATGTGTAAATTAGGTTGAAGTAATAGCATAAATGAAAGACTTAGGGCGATTAACATTTTTGCTAAGGTAACATTTTTACATAACTGTTCCTTTGTATTTATTGTTCAAAGCAAGGCCTACTAATGGTTTACTTAATGGGTTCGTGGAATTTTCACTAGTTTACAGTGCAATACACAAACTTATCTTAAAGCCAAAATGATTAAAAAAAATTCTTTATCATTAAATTGCTCCAATTTATATCTTAAAACGAGAAGGCAATATTTTATACAAACATAAAAGCGTATCTGATATGACCTCCAACTGATGGTATATGACACTATTAAAAGTGCTCCACTGAGATAATCCTGATTTTTTTCTAACAAAAATATGGTGCATTTAAAAAATTTATTTTATGAAAAATATAAAGATTTTTCTTGTATTTTCTTTCTTATTATTATTTTATTTCTGCAAATTATATTTAAGGACGACATCCACTTGTCCATCTATACACTTTCTGATATGTTAATAAAATTTTAATGTTCCTTATAAAAAAAATTTAAAATCAATCTTAAAAACGTTTGGAAAAATATGTCATACAAAATAGACATGAAATAAATACATCTAATGACAAGTTTCTTTCAATGGTAAATGACCAATATTTTATAAATTTTTCTTTTACATACTAATTTAAAATGGTAACAGTTTCATAAAAGTTATAAGATCATATACTATAATTGTATATTTATTAATATTCAACAATTAAAAATTTTTCAACGATTTTTTAAAAACATCGTTTCCTTTAGAAAATATTAAATTTTAATTACATTGTTTGTTTATATTCAAAAATTTATTTTGAAAAAGTTTGTCTTTTAAATAGTATAAATCGTTTCGTCTTATTTTCTTCATCTTTTTGAAAGAATATATAAAAATATGGTGCAAAGAAGACTTTAAGTAAAATACTTGCTATCTTTATCGTAAATATTTTGGTAATTTAGAAGTTTCTTGAACATCATTATACATTTTAGGAACATTTGAATTGTGTATAACATTTAAATATTAATGCCGATATTTTAATATACATGCATAATATTTTGTGTGATTTTAACATTACCAGTGGAAGACTTATAAAATAATCTCGATTTAGTGCGAGCCAAATCTTGTTCATTCTTATTTAAAAATATTTGTATATTGCAGTGTTTCCCAAAGTGTGGTACGCGTACCCCCAGGGGTACGGGAACAGTTTAGCGGGGGTACGCGCTCTTATACGAAATATCTTGCAACAAACGAAAATTTCAAAAAATTTTACTTAAAAACAAAGCTAGAAATGAAAATTTACGATTACGTATTTTTCAATCAGCTATTTTTTGCACAGTTAACAATGAGTGGTGTCATCAGCCAGTTGTGATTTTTAACTTTAGTGCAATTTTTTTATAGTAAAAAATACATTCATTTTTTTATGAGTGGTACACTGCGTTACGAAAAATTTAGAAAGGGTACACAAAAGTCATAAGTTTGGGAAACACTGGTATATTGTATACACTGGAATGTAAGATGATTGGAAATATATGGGACATTATCTTTCCTGTAATTTTCATCAACAAAAAAAAAATAGATCATTTTTTTTAATAAAAATCTTTAAAGGTTGTAACAATTTTTTAACATCTGGTATATTCATCAAAATGTATGTAACGTACTGACAAAAATACTACTGACTACAACTAAACATACGCATAAACAGCACAAATTGACACAAAATAATTTTACATTAATGACTGCAAACACGTGTAGATATAAATTCATTTTGCAAATTTTATAAAACATTTTTTCTTTTTGTATCCAAAGTTTAAACTAAGATTTCTAACACCATGTAAAACACTCAAAATTAAGTAGATTTGCCCAATTTACTAAGAAAGAGTCGAGTGATTAAATTATAAAAATAATTCTCTTAATACCAAAACGTGTAATTTTTAAAAGGGATTATAACATCGGTTTATTGAGAAATGTTTGATTATTCTCGTCCGAACTTGCTCTGAAAAGATCCATGTTAAAAAAATTTTAATCATTTCAATCCAACTTATCGATATCTTGTATATTTGCCTGATAAATGCGCAGTAATGCGTAGCGGTATTAAAATTTCCTCGTAACAATTCTTAAAATTTGCAAAGTTGTGTGTATCAGTTTTTAAAATTTATAAAATTCATGTACAGATTTTTAAAACTTGCATAATCTCGCATGCTAGTTCTTTAAATTGTTCCAATTTTAAATTAGATCTTAAGAGATCACAAATTATTTAAAAAATCTAGATCATTTGAAATTGGATAAATCTCAAATTAATAGTAGTTTTGATTCGATGAAAATCGATGCATGCTAGTAAAGTTAGCGGAGTGTGCATCTTTGATTGAACAAATTATAGTGTCAATCGCGGGAAATTAACTAATCTTTGATATTACAATATAATGCATATGTAGGTAGCTACCTCCCAGCATACAAAGTAAACATATTTTTCTGGAAAATATTGTTTTACAAAAATCACAATTTAAGTATTGAGAAAACTCCTTTTTTTCTGACAGATTTATATATGACTTCAAGATATGATATTACTTGTCAGGAGACAGGCATAGAGTTGAAATAGTAGTATTTCAGCTCTATGTAGTAGTATATCAACTCCAGTATTTCAACTCTATGGAGCTAGGTCCAAAATTTGTGTTCCTTAATGTTACTCTTATTTATTTTTAATTTCCCTCTATCTCTAAAATTAATTACGGGAATCAATATATTTGTGCCATTTTATAAAACTCGTTTATCCTGAAGACAATTTCATGCAAAATATAGAAGAATTTTTTATAATTACTTAATATTTATATTATTTTAATTAATATTTGTATTATTTTAATTTTGATAATTTCATGCAAAATATAGAAGAATTTTTTATAAGTATTTAATATTTATATTATTTTAATTAATATTTGTTTAAAAAAAATTACTCCACGATCCTTGAAGTCAAAAAACTATAACCGTCAGGAAAGAAAAAAAAAAAAGAGGAGTCTTTTTATTCCAAGTGTTCTTCGTTCCAATTTTGCGTCTGATTTTGTAACTTGAAATAACGTCTGAGTTGATTAATTAAAATATTTTATGTTTACCTTACTGACCTATTGTCATATTTTTTCTGTCTAGCGAAAGCTGAAATAAAAAGACCCATTTACAAAAATATTTTGGACAAAGTTATGAATGTTGTCGACAAGTTCTACGTTCATAAAAGCCACTATGCAACGGTTCACAGTTAAAGATCTCAAATTGTCTTATTTTGAATGTTCCCACAGAATTTTTATAGTTTCTTAATTTCAACATTAGTAAAAGATTTAAAGTTACGTAGGGATGGAATGGTTTATCTAAGCTCCTTAGGTTCTTTTTAACCCATTAACCGCCAAAACTTTCGGATACTTTTTTCAAAAATATAAAAACTGGTAATTTAATCATTTCACTTTTTTTAAACTATTTTCGGTGAAAACGAAGACATTTTTTTCAAATAGACATTAAAAATTAAGAATGCTGGCGGGAACTGTAGATCCCACAACCTTATAAAGGATAAGCGCTAATTCCCTATAACTTTTTTTTCAAAAAGTTACTTTTTTACACCACCACAAAGTAATGCGAAAACGCAACATCAGCGGAGAATGGGTTAAACAATTTTCTGACAAAGTTTGATGCGTATCATTTTCCTACACTTAACATAAAGCTACATTGCACATTTTGAATATAAAGCAGTGAGCCGCTAAGGACAAAAAGGTCACACATATTCATCTCATCACTTTGGACCCTTGTAATTCGTACATTCTTTTTTTAAACATCTTCTTGTTGCTTTACATTCTTCGTTGAGACATTCATAGATCCTGACTCTGAAACTATCACCGCCTTCCGGGCTCCTTTGTACACCAAACGTAAGCTCTATACAAGCCGACCAATAGGAAAATTCCCAGTATTCCACAAAAGATAAATACTAGAACTTTTGTAGCTGGAGACAGTGCTGAAAAAAATGTTCAGACATCACTTTGATGTATATACGTTTAAGAAAATTAAAAAGTGGGAAATTATAATTTAAACTGTCATTGTAGTAAAAGAGAAGCATTCCTACAGCAGTCAGTTATAGACCAAGGAGATCATGGAAGTTAAGGTGGCAATGTGGTCAGCATTGCGCAACGGCCACCTTTACTTCCAAGACAATAGGGTACCATCGATCTTCAAGCTGCCGCCGGGAATGGAACCCTGGATTCTTCAGATGTGTCTTAATGCAGTATAAAAACTAGAAATTTTAAAAGTAATTTTTATGAAGTGAGGTCGATTCTTTAATTTTTAAGACTAATGTCTTTTTTGAAAGACTAAAAATAATTTTTTTATTACAATTAAACAAGGCTTCACGTGCAGGGCGGAGTGACACATTTCTGATGTTGGTACATACATGACAGCAGAACATTTATTTTATGATTGAAAAAATTTTTGATATTGTAAGCCAAAGCAAAGCTCTGTATATTTTGCTAAAAGTTTAAATTTCCTGGTCTTATTTAGGGACTCTATATTTTATCATATATCAATTCACAATATCTTACATAAAAAATTATACCGTTAACAAATATTAATAAATTATTTAAATAAATTAGATTGAATTTAGGTTTCCTATTGTTTTAGTTTTGTGTTACAATGGAAGAATATGCTATGTCAATTTAGCATGTTTTAACATGTTATAATTGCAAACTTTTTCCGATCTCTTTACGATTCAAGTCTTTGAAAGAAACCGGTTTTTCACCAAAAAAAAAAAATGTTTTTTTAAACAGTTTTCTTATATTTTGATGCATTCGAAAGCTGACTATTTTATTTAAAATTGGACTTAACATATTCTTCCTCTAAGCTCTTCTGTTTCCATATTTAAATAAAACCAATAAACATTGCTCCTTGTTTCATCCTGCTCGATAACACCTGCAATATAAAAAAAGAGGATTGTTAATTTCTATTAAAAAAATATTTACCTGCCCAACGAGCTGATGTGAAATATAACCGTCCTGTTCCTCTGTTTCCATACCTGTAGAAAAAAAAAGGATTTTAATTTAAAACAATATAATCAAAATCTTTATTTGCTTAACCAAAAAATATATTCCCTTAAAATCACGTATTCAATATTTTACATTAATTTAGTAACATAAAGAAGGATTTTTTAAAGTGCAGGCAAGGATAGCCTGATTGGAAGGGCATTGGGCCATGGTCGGGAGTTCCCTCTCCCCTGGTAGAAGACTCCCCATGTAGTAAATGGTGATTGGTGGGCGTTAAATCTGTCAGGTCACAAAGTCCTCCATGATTTAATAGCAAATTATACCTCTGGGAGTACTGAATTGGAGATTGATAGTCCTCTGATTCAGGTCAAAATTATTATCTGTGGATGTAGTAATGGGTTCGCCCTATAGACAAACTGTGGTGGGCGTGTTGTATTTTAAGGCATAGATAGAGCCACTGAAAAACAAGAAACGCAGCCTCTGCTTTGAATTCGCTTGGTTTTACCAAGTAGTCTTGGTGATATTGGCAATTGGCATTAGAAATAGCAACAACAGGATTTTTAAAAATTTTATTGTATAAAAAAAAATTTAACTTTTTCTTAGAAACTATTTTTCTAAATTATTTATTTTTCAAATGTTGGATTTAAAAATTATGATGCTTAGAAAATTGTGTAGTTCAACGTGATTTAATAGGAATTCGGTCATATAATGTTTTTTTTCGTATATTCATAAATTAAATTTTGAAAGATTATTTTTTGACTCAAATTATAAGGGTAACAAATAAATGAATGATCTTGTGCTAGAATTTTTTGAATTTCTTGTAGATACATATACAGTTAGGTAAGATTAAATCTTTTAGTTAAAAACTTAAAATTAAAATGTAACAAACACAAAAAGAGCTATATTGTATCAGTGATAATAATATAAAGGTATCAGTGATAATAATATAAAGGTATTTCAAAAAATCATAAAGGATAACAACGGACGAAACATTAATGACGAAGGTGAGAATAAAACATCAAAATGTCTTTGATTGCAGAAGGAAGCTAAAAGGAGGTTAAAGGTGATTGAGATGAAAGCTTTATATTTCTTTCCGACCATCAAACTAGTTTTGTTGTTATCCTTCAATCTTTTTCAATAATCATTACACAAATTTCGATCAAGTTATTTTTTTGATTGTTTGTGTAATTAGTAATTTGATACTTCCCTTACTTTTTTTTATTTTATTTCTGATAAGGAATTTTAAGAGTTTCTTTTTTTTTCTTCTTGTTCTGGAAGTTTTAACAGTTCAATTAGCTTCAACTAATAAAATTAAAAAAAGTGCATTTTGCCAGATTGCAAATTGTTTCACATTAATTTTTTTTATTTTTTGATCTGTTTAAAATTTTTAACAAAAGTAAGGGAAGAAGAAATAAACAACAACCTCCTAAAACTTTTTAGTGTGGTAAAACGCAATTTGATAATTCTTTAACCCCCTTTAAGCATCAAATTTGAAAAAAATTTTGATGTGTTATAACATATAAATATTTTACTTTGTAATGGCTTTTTTTTTATTCGAGACAGTATATGTAACAGATTATCAACAATTTCTATAAGTTTTAATCCTTAATGTAAGAAACTATTGAACTTAAAATACGAAGAGTATTCCACAAAAATTGAAAGATATTTTTTTTATGTGTAGCAACACCATGAAACTAAGAAATTAAAGTGCAGACGATTTTTCAAAATGCTTACTGAATATTTATAAATATTCTAAGCAAAGCAGCAGGTTGTGGCAACACCACGAAGCAAAGCAATTAAAATGCAGACGATTTTTCAAATAGTTTACTGACGGAATTATATTCTAAACGAAGTAGGTTTATTTTCCTAGTTACGTGCTTGTTTAAAAAATTGTTTTCTGAACTATCTATCTATAGAAATGAAGGTATGGAGGCGAGTATTTCGAAGTGAACAAACAAAATACGTTGTGCCATAAAATTTTAGGATTATTAAAACAAAGAAATTGTTAAGTTAATAAAGAATCTTACGAAGACAAATGTTTTGCTGATTTTACCCTGGCCGTCCATGAAGTGCTGTGAATGATTGAAATGTTAAAATTGTTTTCAGCAATCTTGCAAGAAAATCGGCAATTGTCACGTGAAGAGATAGTGCATCTCATCAACTAACATTTCAATAACGTCGATATTTCGCATTCTAAGCAATAGTTTCGTGATGTTTGTTCCAGATGTGTTCCAAATTCATCACCTTACTGAAAAACAAATGCAAATAAAATTCATCAATGTTGTGAATTGAAACATACGCTTCAAAATTATTCGAATTTCTTTAGTCATAAGGATGTAATTTGTCAGCATTTTGTGCTCCCAAAAAATTTTGTGATGGTGCATCTAATGCGTCAGTTCTGATTTTTTATATACAATATATCATGATAGTGCTCGTCTGCATAACGCTATTTCTGTTTTTAGCGATATTTTAGTAAATACAATATTAGAAACATGCCACATCTTCTTTTCAAACCAGATCTTGCACCACGCGATTTCTCTTTCGTATTTGATTCTTTAAAGCAACTTCGAGAAAAAGAAGTTTCTCTACTTGTTTTGAAAGTGGGTTGACCGATGGGACTGTTGCATATCAACTGAAAGAAGTTGTATTGAAAATGAATGCTTTACTTCTTGCTGTAAGTATATATTTCTTGATCTTTTAAGATTTCACTCTCAGTTTTTCTAGAGCACTCTTTATAAATGATGAAAAATAATAATACTTACAAAACAGAACTTCCTCTCCCTTTACTTCCCCCTTTAGGACGGCATAACACATTCTTCGTCACTACAATAAGGAGAAAACCTAAAAAAAAATTTAACATTTTCTCATTTGAACTACAGAGAATTGATGTGAAGTCTAGAAAGTAAAAATGCAACGGATGCATGTGGTTTATATTTGTAACTCTTATCTTTTCATCAAGTTACCACAACCTATATATATATATATACATATATATATGTCATTTACATATGGAAATCGTTTATATGTGTCGTATATATATATATAAGGAAAGTAATGTCGTTTCGACGCATTAAATATTCGTTAGTCTTAAAAACCAATTCATTTTTTCGATCCATTTCGATTTTCGATCCGGCATTGAAAGGTTGTCGATAACGAGGGTGAGTACATTATTGATTAAAAACAAAATCTTGATAACAAATATCAAATGCACCAAGACGACACTACTTTCCAGTCCACCTAATATACATGTGTATATATATATATATATATAGGTTGTATATATATATATATATATATTNAATTTTGCTTTTCAGTACGTAACTTATTCCGTATTTTAATCAGTACTTACTACCAAAATTAATTAGGTAATTAAATATTTGGCTATTCGGGAATATATATATATATATATATATAAATTCGAGTCTTAGTTATAAGTAAATCCTTTTAATTTAAAGTAAAAGGAATTTATTGCATTATGTGCAAAAAAATTAAAACAAGTGGATTGGTATAATTATCTCTTTTAATTTTTAACAAGTTTTAGTCTTTTCTTAAAACTAATGTAATCAGCATGCAGATCAACCATAGGAACTTCTTTCCATACCTTCTGAACAATGTTTCGTAATTGCTTCAGTTTCGATAACCTGTGCAACCATGCAAAATAATGCAATGGATTAAGATTCGGGGATAGCTTGGGGATATTTCTCTTTTGGGAGAAAATCAGCTAAATTGTCACTGCACCATTGTGTAATTTTTGCAGCACAGGTAAGAAAATAATCTAACTAATGTAATATACAATTTTGAGAGCGGAAAAAGAATTTTCTCCGAAGTTTTTTTCGATACAGATACAAATATTAACTTCTTTGTTTATGAAAATAAGCGGAAGTAATTCCTTCTTTTTTTCTTCTTTTTTTCTGTGTATTAGATGTGCGTTTTGAATTTGATATTTTATATGATTTCTATATTTTGTATAATATGCTTTTCATCGATTTTGAGCAGAATCGGCCATTTAGTCGACCAAATGGTGGCAGCTTCTTTACACCATTCAGCATACCTGCCAACTCTTCCGGATTTTCCGGAAGATTTTATTTTCATATTTAAAGTGGTAGCAATACTCAGCTTATTCCAATTAACTTTTTGAATTATAATGATTATTATAAATGAATTTGACCACCACTACATATAAATAATTACAATTAATATATGAAAGCATAATAATCCTTGCGCAAGCGAATTTCAACGGGATCAAAATATAAATATATTTTTGAGTCAAATTGTTTTTCGTTTATTGTTTCACAACCACTCTGAAAATCCATTCTCAGAAAGAGTGAAAGTTGGCAGGTATGATTCTGTAGATAAAAAAAAATTCTTGGTTTTTCACTACATTAGGAATTATCTATGGTTCTTGGTGTAGTGTAACACCAAGAGCCAACAGTTAACTATAGTGTTTCATTGCCCTATTTTGGTAAAAGTAGTTGCCATCATTATTTGGTGTGATGAAGATACACTAAAAATTGCTTGAAATGCAGCAATGCTAATGTAAGAGTTTTTGAAAAATCATTAAAATATTTCTAGAATTAAAATTATAACTGTTTTTTGCTTGTTAATATATAATTTATTTTGCATATAACAAGTATGAAACAGTTCTTATATACGTGTTACATACTAACTGTAAATTTTATTATCAAATAAAAATGAAGTAATCCGTTAAAGGGGACAGATGCAAATACAAACTAACCATCATCAAATTTCGAAAAAAATACTTTTGTCAAAAATAAACAGAATTTATTTTCCCAATTTTGCGATGTAATTTTTTAGTAAAACATTTTTTAAAGATTTCATAATAATTAAGCTAGTAATTTTACATTAATTTGCACAAAAGTAAGTTTTTCTCTAATTTCTTTTTTTACTTTGAAGTGTAAAATCACAATTTTTTTCGTAATTATTTTCCCGAAAGTTTATCATGTGCTTTATTAAATGGTGTTAAAAATATCTCGGATTTTTTTTTCCTTAAATATTAGTTTTAAATCTTTTTTTAATATCAAAATAATTATTTTTAAAAAAAATAAAAAGTAAAATTTAAAAAAAAAAAATTTCAAACACTGATAAATTGAAACAAAAACTAATTGTGTCAGTTTATATTACTATAATCTGTCGATAGATAAAATTTGGATATTTTCTATCGAAGTTTAAGACACAGAGTTAGTTTTTTCATTATTGCATAATTTTTACACTTTATGTCACAATGAATAATTGTTGCATAATTTCATTGTAGGATTTATTGCTAGAAATTCCTATTAATTCTATTATAAATATTAAGGCAAACAATTTATAAAATTCACTTAAGCAAAAAAATTTATATTATTTTTACTTTAAAGGTACCGTATTGCCTAATCAAATGGGACAAAAATCTTAAGATACCGGAATTATCCGGGAGCATTTCCCCCCATCACCTGCTAGATAGCCTATTCCACTTCTACAAAGGGATGGCGATAACTTAGATAAAAACAAAAACCTGAAAAATCGATCTCTAACCCAAAACCAGATTTGCATCATTTTCAAAATAAAGGGATACCTCTATTAATGTCTACAAGACATGAAGACACTCACCTGTGAAAATAAAAACATCCGGTTTGAAAAGTTTATCTCTGATGAAGCTCATTTTATTTTCTTCCTCTCCATCCTCCGGGATCCGATGGCGTAATAGCAATGACGTCAGTATGACGTCAAGCACGAGCTGTCACCATTTTGATCCTTTTAACATATACTATGAGCATGCGATTGATTTGTTTATTTGATTTTTATTGTGAAAATAATTTTTTTTCTTCCATTATTTGATCGATTTCGGGTTCAGTGGTTGATAAATCCAACTATATAATATAGCATAAATATAATTTAAAAATATTTGATTATTTATGTATATTTTGAAATATGTGTCATCAATTTAATAAAAAGAAAATTTTTTTAATAAATTCCAAATGTAAAAACTTCTAGTTTGATTTCAAAATGGCGATTTTACTCATTTTTTTTAAATTTAAATATGAAAAAAATATTTTTAATTCTTCTATCAATTTTAAACATAGTGATTGATAAATCCAACCATATAATGCATGTATCTACTCTTTTTATAACAAATATAAAATAAATAATTACATACTTTTTACAATATAATACTTTTTATAACACATACGAAAGTAACTGGTGATTTAATATATGGTGATTCAATATTCTGCCACCACAGTTTGATATAAAAAATTAATTTAAAATTTTTACTCATAAACTTATTTAAAATGTAATTTAATTACGATTTATTTAGCTATTTTGATTTAAATTATGAAGAAAAAAAATTCGGATGTTGTGTTTTTTAGATACAATCAAGCAATTCATGCAAATGCTTTTTATAATAAATACAAAAATAATTGATGTTTTATTTATATTTTAAAAGCATTGTCACCAGTTTGATAAAATGCAATTCTCATAGTGATTTTTATATCTCACAATTTCTAATTTAATTGCGAAATTACGATTGATTAACTAATTTATTTAAATTATAACTGAAAAATTATTTTTAATTGACTTCGCGTGAAGTGGCTGTTAAATTAAACCATATGTATATGTACTTTTCGTAATGAATGCAAAAGTGATTGATGATTTATTTATATTTTGAATATACTTATGACAAGGAATCTTCGATCTTATAAAAAGGAATTTTTTTAATATGCAAAATCTCGTAATATATCTCAAGTAATATGTAAAATACAATATCTTAAAAATGCTTGCAGTAAGATTTACGTCTATTTCGAGGGTAGTATACACGTATTGATTGGGTGGAGCAAGGATATTATTATGATTTACAGAAGCCGATTTTCTTCTTCATTGCCTTTTCTTAAAAAAATATATTGTACAAAGCCACTAACAAGGGAATATTCTGCTATATTTATGGGCTTTTTTTCTTGTAACTCACTGTTTAAAGGATATTTTATGGAAATCTTTCCATGGCTAGGCATATAAAATATTTTTTTTAAAAAAACTCTTTGATTTTTCTCATTTATACCAGATTTTTCCATTCTCCCCTTTTACACGAAGCTTGACATCAGTCTCGCAACATCACTATAGGAATAAAAACCTAAGTATTAACTCTCGATTACCATAGCCTGCATTCAGGCAAGCACTGTCGCTCGGTAATATCTCCAAGTTTAGCCGTGGTGACCCAGGGGACAGAGAGCTCGTCCTCAAATATGGTGAACCGGGTTCGAATCCCAGCGATGGCTGATCGATTCGAATTCCGCACCCTGCTTGCACTGACCCCACTGATAATGTAAAGTATCCTCAGTGGTAGACGGATCATGGGTTAGAATCCCCTCGCCGTCAGACTTACGATGGGAGGTTTTCGTGGTTTTCCTTGCCATGTAGCTCAGTTTTGAGCATATTTGAGAAGGAATAAACCTCTTCGCTAGAGAACTGGTTTTTGTTTATATTCAAATTAACGATGAAGCCTTTAAGAGGCAAATATTTTCGTTTTTGCTTTAAGCTCGGTTAATAGCTAAATTGACTACATCACAAAATGTAAAGTTGATCCGTAGTTTATTTGACAAGCCTTTTTTCAAGCCTTTAACGTCAGAGGACAGTTTTCAGGAGCCTGCTTTCAGTTCTTGTGTAAATATGTGCTACTAAGCAAGGAACTAAGCTAACGAAAAATTATTCCTGAATACCACAAATCTTTTAAAAAACAATATAAGGAGCATAACTTGAAATCTAAGGAATCTGCTCAAATCTATAGATCAGTGGAATCATCAAGTGCTCACCCTGTTTATTTGACTAATCATATTAATGTATATTATCAAAACAGCTATAGAAACCTAAATTTTCTCCCTATTTATCTCCTTATTTGTCAGTCTTTATTTAGCTTTTCACTTTTACATTTGAGTTTTATAGATCAAGCCATATTAAATTGAGCTGTTATTGAAGTAGAGCATTCTTTGTCTAAAAAAAAGGTATTGAAATACATTTCTATTCAATGCATAGTTTGTTGATAAAATATGAATTCTCTTGTACTATGCTTTAAAATCGGCAATCATGGCATTACATCCTAAAATTCATTCTATCCCAATTACATCCCAACCACTGCCCATGATATACATTTTTACAATTCTTAACTGAAATTAATTAAAAAAAGAAAGGGCATATACTATAGATCGAAAATCTATTTTCTAAAGTAGGAGAAACAAAAATTTTGTAGAAATCTGTTGAATCACTGGTGAGAAATACGGGATGATAGCATCAAAATCAGTTTGATTACCTGATAAAACTTGGAAGAAGTGATATTAATCTTTTCTTCTTTTTTTTCCCCCGCAATCTAACAGGTGACCATATTTTCAGTGTCGCCTATCTCAGAAGTAGTTTTTTACATTTTGATAACGTTTTTGTTTTTATTTCGTTAAAAATTAATTTCGACCTTTAATATGTACACATTTTTAACAAGGATTCGAAAAATAAATATTAAGGACAGTCATTGCAAATTGTTTTCTGTAACAAACATCTAGGAATACCCTCACATACCTAATATTTTTATATGTTTGTAATTTTTACTTAGCTTATAGAATATTTTTTTTTAATTGTACGATTCTATTATTTCTATTCAATTGATACTAGGGTAAACTAACCAGTGAAGGAAGACTTAAGCTTCGCTTGCTCTTTAAAAAATCGTATTAACTTCAAAATTCGTAATTTTAGTTAAATGACAGTGTCAACATATTTGTTACTAATTGCAAATTATGTAAAAAAATTTTAGAGAACTTACATGATATTGTTTTAAAGTTTTGGAGGTTCAAATAACAAGTAGTAAGAAGACCAAGTGAAGGAACAGTGATTGCCCAGTAAAGGAACACTTAATTTTGGTTATTTTTTAATGCTCTTTATGAATTTATCAGCCATACAAATATATAAAAACAAGATAATTTGTGAAATTATAACATACAAGTACTTGCAAAATGCTAACTTTTTTCTGTAATCATGAACTAGAAATTAAAGTGATGTTAAATACAAAATAAATTTTAAAAAATCATTCTTTCTTATAATTTCACAGTGAAATCTAAATCATTGTGTCATCCGATGCTGTTTATTATCATTATTATTTTGCCACCTTTTTGTTTACTCTTTTTCCTCTTATTTCTTGAAGCTTTTCTTCTTTTTTAAGTATTTTTTCTTTCTTTTTCTTCTCCATATTCTCTTGCTTTAACTTTTTTTTAGATCTTTCAGCCTCTTGAAATTTTTTCCATTTATCTGTAGTTAGTGCAAAAGGTAATTTATTCGTTTTTCTCCTTATTTGACCTTTCTCTTTATTATCAATATTTGGCCAATGTAAATGGTTCTTCCAAACTTCTTCTGATTATTCAGCAACATTTCTAGAATGCCTTTCTCGAAAATAGACGGGGGAAAGGTGTCTTGAAGTTTGAGGAAAATCCATCTTTTGTTGACTTATATCTAGAGGATCTTTAGAAGTACTGATTTTACTTATAGAATCATTTCTTTTTTCAACTAAGAGAGGATCAGCATGAGGACTCATTTCAAATTCGATATCTAAGATGCATTCATCATCAATACTAGCTGCAGTTCCTAAGTTTGACTTAACCAAGTGGTCTTCTTTTAATACGTACTTTTCCATATTGAAAAAAGTACAGTCTCTTGGACATTTTCGATATTAGACTCTTCAGTCAATGCTGCGTTAAAAATTTGCAATATATCTTGAGGGATTTCCCTCTCAAGCATCTTAAGAAATTGAGTATCGTTTCTGTTTCACTCTGTTTTTTATTGAGGAGCTTGCTTCTAAATTCTAACATAGTAAAGTAGTTTTTATAAATTATATCATCACGTTGCTATTCTATAATGATAGCTTATTAGGAGTTCTTGGTGCAAAAGCCAGCAAAAAAATGCTCTATTCAAATTTTTATGATTATATTTAATTAGTTTTCGATTTGTAAACATAGTTTATTAAGTTGCCTAACATTTGATGTAACTACACTCCCCATTAATAAATATAAATTATAATTTTTTCATAAATTAAACTATTAAATTAACATTTTGAACTGAAATTATTTCAGGAATTATTCATACAATCTTTAACAAAATTTCCATTGTCCTCTATATAGCAGAATTACTTATCCTCTAGAGTCATGTAAAATCATATTTCACACAGTACTGTTCATTCACTGGAAGTATTCCCAGTGAAGGAACATGTCTGTTTCTTCACTGGTTAGAAGTTGTTTTTTGCCTTTTAAACCGATTTTTGATGTATAATATGACTAAAAGTACAAGAAAATTAAAAAATTTCTTTTATTTTCATTAACTGGGAAAAGAACCCAGTAAAGAAACACTTGTTCTTTAACTGGTTTTTCATCGTTTGGTGATCCAGTAAAGGAACATGCATGTTCCTTCACTGGTTAGAAGTTGTTTTTTGTCTTTTAAACAGAATTTTGATATATAATATGACTAAAAGTACAAGAAAATTTTAAAAAAAAAATTTATTTTCTTTAAATGGGAAAAAAAACCAGTAAAGGAACACTTGTTCCTTCACTGGTTTTTCATCGTTTGGTGATCCAGCGAATAAACACCCCTTATCTCAGTACTTGATTATGCTTTGGTGCTTTAAAAAAAATAAAACGTAACTTCAATAACTATATTGTGAATTCTCTTTTCACGGTGAGAAAAATAAGACTATTACAAGCAATTAATTCCATTTCAAACATATAAATACAAACACTTAAATT